CTGAACCAGGCTATGGTCCGGCTTATACCTATTATACAACACATATTGTAAAGTACATGAAAAAAATTCTCAATTTTTTCATTCCTCTCACAAGAAAAATATCACAAAAAATTCCAAATCTAACTAAAAGTTTGGATTCGTTAATACCTGATTTCCAAAATAAGTGAGCTGAATAATCGGCTGCATCATATAGCTGATCGAAACTAATGGTGATAAATTTATACTGATAAAATGTAACGTGTTACATGAACTTACATCGGACCCGAGTTTGCAAATCCCCCGCTGGAATTTTTCACACGGTTTCAAGGAAGCATTATATTTGACGTGCAGGAATGGACAGTGCTCAATTGTGCACACCATACGCTCGAAGTAATCACAAATTGGAAGTTGATGTTCATTTAAGTTATGACTGTACGGACAATTCACATCGCGACATCGACCACATAGAAGCCTTCAATACATTTTTAAGTCATCGTTGATTTTTGCAAACATCCAAACATCATCGGTTGTTGAGATGCGTCAGCTAAATCAATTTCGAATCCGATGAATATACTACAAAACGAACGCAACTCATCGAGTCAATAACCACTGCCTAACTGCAACAAAATCCTGATCGGTCTTGTTGCAGTTAGGCAGTGCTTATTGACATCAACAAAAAGCCAAACGTACGCAGAACAAAGAGTCTCATTTCGATGTGCGTTGCTATCATCGTGATCGTATATGCAGAATACACCCGCCGAACATTCACCACGCTCTGCGAACTCATAACAAGCGTTTGAGTCCTCAGTGAACAGTCGATCTAAACTTGATTAAATGTCATNGAGGAACCTTTTTGCGTATGCATACAACGTGAAACAGAAAACGTCTATCGATCATGAGCGACTGAAGAGCAATAAAACGGGATATACTACGAAACAGTTACCGTTAATGCGCAGTAAACGTCGATTGATCTTAGCATTTTGTACATCGTTGACTGCCTCTGCCTTCAAAAGAAAATTTCACAATAAAACTATTGGGTTGATTTTGCATAAAGAAATAACACACACAACAATGAACCGTTGAACTAAAAGATAATTCAAGAAGAGTGAAAACCAAATGTCAAATAAGTGATAGCTGGATGAATCAATAAAACTTCGCAGGATGGAGATGCGAAGTGATTTCAGTCATCGACTGATCACTGAAGATTAACAAATCTTATAACAACCGCATCATCGAGTCCTTCATTTGTCCTTCTCCTTCGCCACGACATACCATTCCTCGATAACGTACCACTGCTGTACACTCTCTTCAGAGTAACATTTGACGGTGCTTTCTGGAGTTTCAATGAACCGAACTGTTTCAATGGCGATACTTGCTCACCTCCTGCAAGTTCACCATGAAGAATCAAAATCATAAACATAAGAAAATAAGCACGTTTGGGTACAGATGGCTGCATTACTCTGAATCAGAGTCGATTCCGAGCGTCTTATGAGCACCAAATTTTTAGAAAATGTCACGGAAGAAATACGATGAAAAGGTCACATTAAGTGGTACTTCTGAAATTTAAGGTCTCTGTGGTTTGCTATTGAAACATATCGAAAAATGTTTCCATTTGCTCATGTGATCGATTGATGTGTTGCAATACGCGCATTTTACTAGGCGCGCAAAGGGTACATTACACCAGAGCGCCCGTTAACTACAGAAGACCTAAAGAGAGGTACGAAAATGAAACGAAATTGTCAATAGATAACTCGGGATGGACTAAATAAACATGCTGCAGCATGGAATGATCACTTTTTGAATAATTTTCATTCACTCAGGGTTGTTCTTATGACCTTTAGGTACACTTAAATCAATACCAATTCGTTGCAATTCAATCACAGAACGTACAATATCGTTGACATCTCACAACTATTTACAAAAAAGCTGTTACTAATCAGAAATGAAACCACTCACCTGACGCATTTTGTGGGGATGATAAAGATGCAACTTTTGTTAGGTGAGGCAACTGCTGACCGACTGCAAATGAGTTCTTCGCGGGCTGATTCGACACTAACGATGACTGTGACAGGGATGTATCATTCACTGAATTAATCAAACTATTACTATCTGTGTTAGCAAGAATGATTATATCGTAGCACTTTCACATTAGGAAACAATTATAGTGAAAAAAAATTCTCATTCCTTCATCTCACTTTACCCGTGAATTTTATCGAAAGATCGTCATTGACGATCGAACCACTAAGCCCGATCCATTATGTTTGATTAAACATGCACAGAAATGAAATTGAAACAAATCCTCTCAAATAGCAGCAATATTTGGAAAACGCACGACTGCGATCAAAACCAAGACATTCTTTCATTTAAAAAACTCCGATGCTCTTTGTAGGTGTGAATAAATGTTCGAACACAAAAGCGTATTGAAAATCACAAAAGTGACCTGTAGAAGTTTTATTGAGCAGTTTTGTAGAATTGTTAGATGATAGCTGATTATTATTGTCTGATGACTGATGGGGATGAAACGCAATTGCAGATGCTGTTTTGCGAATTAATTTGGTGGCTGTTCGCACGATAACTGATGACGATTGAGGTATGGGTAAGGGCTGTTTTGATGTCACTTTCTTGTCTCGTCTTAACGTTGATAACACATTCGATACGGCAAACACTGATTCACGATCCTTCTGCAACACATCATTCATTCACTCTATTCCTTTCACTAACCCTATGATCTGTGACATTCATATGTAAACGAAGAAATCAACACAACACGGAGAACATTCCAAATGATTTAACTACTTCTGTTCTTCACGGGCAACAAAACAACAGAAGTAATTAATCTTGAGCCAATAAAGCAATTATGTTATATTATACAAATTATTACTGAAGGAAAGGAACCTTTTCATATGTGTCTGCGTAATCATCCATGAAGATAAGATTGTTATGTGATTTCAGTGGGAACGTCCTTCCTTCTGACGTTTGTGGACGACTGCTATTTTTGGGCAATTTATAAAGAATACCTTTGAACTGAGATCGACACGTCAGTAGTGCTTCTTTATTGTCTTGATCTTTTTTGGACTCACTCGAAGAATTTTGTGAACAATCTGAAAATTGCATAAAATAATACTACCTACCTCGGTATATGAAATAAATGCTTGATTGCTAGTGGCAAAACGNATACAAATACAAGACAGTGAAACGGAATGGTATGAACAAGTCCAAAAGGATAAAACGAGATAAAAAATTAAGAGGATGACTCCTGAAAGACGAACCACGTGGCGGCTGCAATTCTACTTGAGAGGTAATGGAATGCTGATTAATGAGGTGTCGTTCCTTGTCCGATTGCAACGATGATTCTTGATTATTCTTTAAAATTTATCATTTTTCATCTCAAATCAGGGGAAATAGTCCATCTTTTATGAAACGATACATTCATTGAAACATAATGATTAAACTGTGATGAATGTTTGAATGAAGAACGCCAATTATATCACATCCATTCGTACAGATGAGAATTATTGTAAACAATATTCATACTGCAAACATAAACATAACATCATAAAATTGCACAATGCATATAAATTACCTCCACCATTTCATCATCACTACAATCCATCTCTTCATGATCATGATTATCACCAAGATTATCACCTGAAACAATACTTCACCGAATCATATGCAACAGCAACTAATGTTGATACCATACGCAAATATTAGAGAATATGATATAAATTCATAAACTATGTTAATGTAAACTCATTGAAAACAGTCGAATATTTTTGATGACAATCGATGAATGTATCATAATTAATCAAAAATTTTGTAAGGTGCTACACTGATCACACTGAAAGCTAAAATAATAAAGTTTCAATAAAAGGTAAACGTAAAAATCAAAAATCACATTGATACCTTGGTCAGCATCCTGTCCATCGTACATAGCGCGGTCACCCGGTGCATATTCCTTAATATTATTTCATTACAATCCGTAGAGTATTGATTGGCATTATTCTTAATGCAAATGCAAAACGAAATGAAAATCATATCGTCGATTCAAAGTCGGCTGGAAATTGCGTTTCGGGAAATTCACCAACTTCACATACAATTCAAAACAATTCATAAAGGAGATAATTAAAAGAAACGATAACAACCAAACTTAACAACTACAACAAATGATTTACTGTTGAAATAAATGAACAACAAACTCACAATTATGAATGGAGGAGGTGGTGGCGGAGGATCGATCAAATTGCTGTAAAGCTGATTACCACTTTCTAGGTTCGACTCTACGGACGAGATAAACGATGAGGTAGGCATCTGAGATTGTGCTGATGGTGGTTGATCATTCGCCAATGTTGACTCACGCACACCTGTGATAAAATGAAATCAGTTCAAGACCGGCAATTCATTCAGTATTGTAATACCGCTAAAATACTGTTATTCACTCACAAAATGCAAATATATTCATAATGTTTATCAATTTCGCTTACATTCCTTTTCTTAAAATCATTTTACTGGTGCACGTTATTATATGTTTCGTCAGCAACGTCGTCAATAACTCACCAGCACAAAACGTCTCTGAATCGTAAGCGTTCACGTTATTACGAACAGATTCATTCATAATATTCACATAACTATTCGCACCACCAAAACCATTCACGTTCTCATAAAATGCTCCACCAGCTGACCAATACACGGATTGCGGTGTTGTGACTGTGTTAATTGCTGATCCGTTTCCTTCACCTTCAATATACATATCGTTAGTTCGATGCCAACAACATCACTTAAGTGTATGTCAACAATTGAATACATCCTTATGTAATAATATTTAAGTGATAGAAAGCCGAAATTTAGTTGAACAGATTACATGGAACAAACAGTGTTATGATCGAGAACACTCGTGAAGACACCAGTTCAAACTTAATGAAAAATGCACAAATGGATAGCAGATGGAAACAAACAATTAATGAAATAGTTGGTGTTTTGTTGCAGTTGTGAGGTGATATGAGTTGAACCGGGAGTTGTTTGAAGCACCGATGATGGGGTTGAAAACGATAGTAACGTTTGCGGTTGGGAAGGGGGTGCGGGAGGTGGTTGAAGTGATGAGTCGGCTAAATATATGGACGAATTCACAAATGTCGGTTCAGGCAGAGATGGATTGAATTGGGGAATCAACAACGATGATGCCGATGATTGATGATCGAATGGCGGTGCCGGTGGAGGAGGTAGAAGTGTACATAAACCAGACGTTTGCGTGGATAACGACGGTGATATCTGCAATGATCCATCATTCCTTTAAGGCCGCTCCATTCCAAACACTCATCATTTGCTGCATCTGTTTCGAGCATACCATAAATTACTGAATGAATATTCAACTGAACCAATTCAGTTACATATTGAATGCTATTCAATACGATGAATAAAATTGATTTGTAGCGTCCAAACGCATCCTTAACCACACATCCATCACACAGCAAAAACAAATCTTGTTTTGTCATTCACAAAAACAAATATCAAAAACGAAACAACTACGTAATATATTGTTATGACCAGACAAAAACCATCGAGCCTCATCCCGCATAACTGCCATCCGAAATGGCATGCAATGAGCAAACAACAAAAAATTATTACTCAGCAATTGCACATCCAATTCTGCATAGTGTGATTTCATTTGAGTGAAGATGATTTATGCACAGCTCATATTACACCATATTTCTTTGCATTTCATCTTATCACGACGACCGGTATGCAATTTGAATGAATATTCAACTCAATCTTACTAACACACGCTCACTAACAATCTCAATAATACATTGTTATGTAACCACAAGGAAGCTCTCGAAAGCAACAACGAGTAGGATGGAATCCTTCCCTTCTACGGATATGATTAAAGGTATCCGACAGTAAATTGATTCAGTAAGAGATCAACACTTCAATTAATCCCTTGTTACTACGCGACAAAATCTACGGTTATTCAAATTTCTAAGAATACATTTACTGAATGCACGATAATCCACACGGTCATCAGTCATAAAAAGCATTTAAAAACACATAAATTATACTGCACATAAGTACATTCATGAAAAGTTGATTAATACAAATTCAACACATTGTGAAAATCGACCGAATTGCTGACTTTTAATTACGCCATCATCTGAGCATCAGATAGTCTCAAACTTACGCATGGGCAGAGGGTAGATGTGGCATGGGTTACTGCACAACGAAAACACTCTTACGAATTCACTTGTGCTTGTCAATCGAAGTGAATCGTTTCAGTTGGAATAAATGTTGTCATAATTCTTTGTTACATACAAATCTGTACTGTAAAATACATAATTCTAAAAACGGCATTCAGAAAGAGTGTATT